AGCGCGCAGGCCCCGCGCCGCGGGCCCGGCCCTGCTGCCGGGTAGTAGTAGCTGTCGTAGCTGCGCTGCATGTCTGCGCCGGGCCCGGGGCCGGGGCCTGGGGGCGCCGGGTGCCGCAGCAGTGGCTGCTGCTCCGCCAGGCGGTAGGTGCTGGGAGCAGCCGGAGGCAGCGACACGGCGTGCGCAGAGTTGGGAGACGTGATCTCGAAAGTCGGCACCTGCGTGGCCAGCGAGTAGTGGAAGTCCACGGGAGAGAGGCGCGCGGGCGTGGTCAGGGCCGACACGTACCTGCGGGGAGAGGCAGTCTAGTGGGCCAGGAGGTGGGAGCGGGAGGGGCGGACCCAGACGGGAGGCAACGTTCTTGCCCTGAGTCCCGCCTGCAAGAATGATGGCGGTGATCCATTTCCTTAACCTCGCTGAGCCTAGTTTCCTTATCTGTTAACTGTACCACAGCATTCATTCCATAGTGTTGTTGGGACAGTTCAGAACATTTAAGTGACTTTCTCGAGGTTCACACAGTGAGGAACTGGGATTTGAACCGAGGACGAGCAGAAACCAGGCCTCATACTGCCTAATTCCAGAAACCACTAGTCCCAACTCAGTGACTTGTCCTGGACTCACTGGCCCTGCAGGGACAATTCATCCCACAGGACGATAGCTTCAGTGGGAGAAATAGTCTGTCTTATATTGAAGTCTGAAGCTGCCTCAGGGATGGTTCTCAGACCAGGGATGACAGTCACCAAGACCCCACTAAGGTGAATCTGCTTGGGGCTAAAAATCTCCAGTTCCTCCAAACATTTGCCCTTGTTAATATCTCCCAGGCTGGGTCGTGGTCACCTGTCTCTTTTCTTTCTCTACCTCCTCCTACCCCCACCTTCTATCCCATCAGCCACTGCCCACCTCAGGATGAGGACAACCCACCTCCATGCCTTTCTTCCAAACTGCAGAGCTGGCACCTCACTGTTCTCTGGAACCAGCCTAGAGTCCCCATTACTTCCTCTGAGTCACCTGACTCCCCCTCTTTCCTCTCCCACATGCACATCCAAATAACTACCAAGTCCTATACATGCCCTGTCTCTTTGAGCATACCCTCTACCCCACTCCACTTCACCCTGGGCCTAGCTGCCTTATTCTGGTCATTCCCCCACCCCAGGGTCTCTCCTCCTTCAGTCCTTTTTGTGTGTAGTTCCCAGGGCAATCTTTTTAAGTCATAACTCTGCTTCAGGAGGCCCTTCCTGTAGAAGCCCAGGGCCCTGGCCCATCTGTCTGGCCCCAGCTTCCTGTTTAGGCCCAGCTCTAGTGCTCCACATAGCCCACCCTGCTCCAGGCGCCTCACCTCACCAGCCACGTTCACAAATGTCTTAAGGCTGTTCCCCTTGCCTGGAATGCTTTTCTCCCATCTCTCCACTTCTTACTTTCCCACCCACCTATTAAACAGTCTTATTGCTGTGGTTATTATTGATAACCATATACACCTAGAAAGCACCAGCTCCATGCCAGGTACTAAGCTATGAGCTTTATGCGCATTATATCAGGTGAGCTTCATAATAGCCATGCATGATAGGTATTGTTATCCCTGTTCTACAGCTGAGGAAACAACGAAGGGCACAGAGGTGATTAACCTGCCCAACCAATCACACAGCTAGAGGGTGTTGGAGCTGGGTTTGGAAAGGTGGGTCTTAGGAAACCTGGCTGCTTCCCTGAGCCTACAGTCAGACTGGGTTTCTCTCCCCTGGAGTGGCGTCCTGAGCAGTGTCCTGTGCTTAGCACTTTTCATTAGGTAGCTGTGAGCTGCAATGGTTTGTGCCCGTGGCTGGGAGCTCCTCAGGAGTAGGAACCAGTGGACCATCTGTGGATCCCCCAGCAGTCTGCCCAGCATAGGGCCTGATGTGGAATAGGCGGAGTTGAGAATAGAATATCTGCTTCTCCCCTTCCTCCCTGGCATGGAGTTTTTAGTACGGGCACCTTCCTCTGCTCTCCTCCCATAGACCCTACTTGCCAAGGGCCACTCTAGGGCTGAGCAAGGGTTGGGGCCTGGGCCCCTGTGATCCTGTGATCACTCTCTCCCCCTGGCTAGCAGTCAAGGAAGAAGGGGAGTTTCCTGATTCTCACTGCATCCGTTGCTCAGGAACCTGACGGCACCTTGAACTGTGGGGTCTTGTTGCTGATGCTGCTGGGCCTGCAGTCACTCTTGGCTCATGCCTATCCTGCACCGGTCAGCACCCCGCACCCCAGCATCTGCACAATCTTGGTGTCTTTCTGTTCCTGCTGGGACATGGAGCCTCTAGGTGACACCAGAATAGGAGAGCCATATGTCCATTTGTTCCAGTACAATTATTAATAATGTCCCCTTCTACTCTAAGGTGTCCCAATAGGACAATTAAGTTACACTGGTCACTCCACACAAGGGTCCACTGGCAGTAATCCATTCTGGCTCTGAGCAGATCATTTAATCTCTCTGAGACCTTGTTTGTCCATCTGAAAAATAGGATGAGGCTCTTTGGAGTGTCTCTGAGGTGCCCTAAGTGCCAGCCCTGGGTCAGCAGTGCAAGCTCTCTGGCCAAGATGTGGCACAGGTCATGGGGGAAGGACTGACCTCTCGCTGTGTGGGGAGTCACGCAGGGAGTCTATGGAGTCATGGTAGGGTGGCATGGCTGCCCTGCGCTGCTCCTCCAGGCTGTAGGCTGCTGCCCGTCGTGCCCGCGCCTCCACGCACGCTGGGCTGTTGCACTTGCTGGTGCCTACTGATGACAGCATGATGCCTGACTGGGAGTCGGAGGTCAGGCTTTCAGAACGCTCCAGGCTCCATGTGTGGCTCTCGTGTCTGGGGAAGCCAGGTCGGATGAGACAAGGGGTTAGGAAGGGGTAGGGCAGCCCAGCAGGCTTGGTCCCTCGGCCACCCCCTCGCTGGCTCCTCAGTCCATCTCGGGCTCCCTCAGCTCATTGCCATTCTCCACTCTGGGCTGACTTGTGGTGTCACAAATGCCCAATTCAGATGTTGGGAGAAGGGCTGGGGTCCCATGGAGGGGTGGGCTGTAATGTGCAGAGGCCTCTTTCCTCCCACAACCAACCTCCCCCTAGCCTCACCCCAAGGCCCCCTTTCTGGGATCCTTCCACCCCCATGGTTCTTAGCCACTTATCTCAGGGAGCCCAGCTCCAGTGGCCAATATTTGGGGGCCTGCCTATTCCACGGACTGTCCAGGGAAGAAAAAGGCCAGCCAAGTTATTTCTTGAGCTGTATAATAAGGCTTTGTGCTTGTGTGCACAGGCCTCCTCAACTCTGGAGAGAAGGCTAAAGTGGACTATGATTCACATAGGAAAACTCAGGAGTGGGTATCAAATAAACCCGGATGTTTGAATGAGGAGGACAAAGGGAGGTCAAAACAAAACTAAATGAAAAGGTGGGAGCTAAGTGACAGTTATTCCTCTGGGGCTAGTTTAGACTGGAAAAGGGAATCAGGCCCCCTGAGGGTCTGGAGGAATATTTGGTGGTGGATTCTGGTTTGAAGCCCCACCCCCATCCTCCTGTGGCTGCTCAGGGGACCTTGATACAGAGCCCAGCCAGCTGGGGAGTTTGTGTGTGTGTACCCAGGCAGGCATGTGGTGTGACTCAGGCAGGCACGTGTGGGTGTGCGTACAGGAATCAAAAAGCACGGTGGGGGTTTTGGTGGGTGCCCACCTGTGGCTGGAGGTGGGCGTGGCTGTGGAGCAGTGGTGAGAAGGAGAACAGGAGTGGCTCCCGGAGAAGGTGGTCTCAGTTTCCCTCCGGATGACATGGTCTGTGGCCGGCACATTCTTGGAGATATACTAGAACAGACAAAGGTGGGTAGGAGTTAGTGATGGGCGTCTCCTAGTGGGGATGGGGAAGTGTGGACCCTGAGGGCTAGCTTGGAAGGGGGTCCACTGGATGAGAAGTGACTTGATGTTGGGGCAGTGATGGCCCCAGCAAATCAAACTCCCCTCCTTTCTTTAAGGAAGTGGACAAAACAAAGCCAGTCACCCTGGAGAGACAGTGTCTGGCAGGCAGGGCTGATCATGGGCTGGGTGGGCATCTGCCCAGGCCTACTCTTGCAGAGGGCATAAAAAGGCTGGCTGTCCCATGAGGGCTCAGAAAGGGTCTGGGAATGCCACTCACGTCTGCCATCTGGATCTCCTCAGGGTCCAGCCGGGGATGGCTGGGCCCATTGGCCAAGCTCCGGTTCTGGTGGGCTGGGCACATGTTCTGCCGGAGGTGGTTGTGCATCTGCTTCCGTTGTTTTCTGTGCAGGGGAGGGTGGGTTAGCTTGGCCTGCCCTCCCAGCCGCCAACATCATGTAATGTCAGCCTCCCTGACCTCTGCCCTGGGCTGCTACCTCTCTACCCATGCTCAAGCTGCCCTCAGCCAGGACCCTCCCGATCTACCCCCCATACCATCACCACCACCCTGCAATCAGCAGGGCCTGAGTGTAGAGGTACTGGGCATCAGCTCTGCTGAGCGAGTAGAACTCCACTACTTACTAGGTGTGTAACCTTTGGCAAGTTACTTAAACTGTACCTGCTTCACTTTCCTCATCTGTAAAATGGGGTGATCGAGACTGTTGACGATTAGCAATATATAAAATATTCTAGCACAGAGCTGGCTTTTACTATGTGCCAGACACTGTTTTGGACAGTGGGTATAGAGCAGAGAACAAGACAGCCAAGGGTTCCTGCCCTCATGGAGCTTGCAGACCAGTAGGGGAGACAGACGATAAACATGTAAACACATAAATGAATAAGATATCCTCAGAAAGTGCTATGAAGAAAACAGAGCATGCTGTGGTTAGGCAGTCATAGCCTGTGGGGCTGCTTTACACTGGCACATAGTAAGTACTCAATTAGTTTGTTTTATAAGAAACAAATCTGATCATGTTACTCCCCTGTTTAAAGCCCTTCACTGGCCCTCAGCATCCTGCTTTTCTTTCCAGCCCTGTCTCTCACTGTTCTCCTCTCACCCCAGCTTGCTGCATCCTTGGAGGGCTGTTTCTGATCCCATGGTGCCCTATTGTCTCTGGCTTCTGAGCCTTTGCACACACTATTCCATCTTCCTGGAACACTCTTCTTCCTCCTCTTCACCTGCTAACCCCTGCTTGTCTCTCAGGCCACAGTCTAAATTCTGCTTCCTCAGGGAAACCCTTGCTCTCTAGCCGAGGTGATGTGCCCCTGAATGCGCTCTGTGACACTGGAGCTGTTGCTCAGAGCATTGGCCACACTGATAGGCACTTGATTATGTGCCTGGTACAGTGCCTGGTGTCCAGCAGGCACGGAATGAATGTTTGTTGAAGAAATGAGTAAAACAGTGGGGGTTAGAAGAACAGGAGGCTTGCTTTCTTTCTAGTTCATGTCCTAAGTTTTCCTACTTGGGCCCAATCTCCTTCTCTGGGTTACCTGAGCCCCAACTCCCTCCATTGCCCCCCTTTTGGCCTTTCTGGTCCTGGAAGGATGGGCCCTAGATATCACAGGTAAGGGCAGTGGGAATTCAGACTGCTCAGCCCCCCAAATGGTAGCTATACCTGGACCCTTGCTCCCCAGATATGAATGGATTGATAAACCAATAATTTTTCTGCACTATATCACTCTACAACCTTTGTTGGTTCCCCATCACCTGCAGGATAAACCCAGACTACCTTGCCTGGCATCTGAGGCCCTATGATGCCATCTGGGCCCAGCTGTCTTTTTAGACTTGTGCCCCTTTTTTTTCCCTGACCACAGCCCTTTGCTCTAACTAGTCTGGGTGCTCATGCTCAGGGAACTCAGCTGACTGGTCTGTGCTTGTCTCTTAGCTTGCACTATTCTATCTGAACGGCCCAGCTACCCTTCCTGTCCATTTATTCTCCCTGCCCTGAGGTTCTGCCCCACCTCTCCTCTGCCCATAGGTGGCCCCACTTTATGTGTGCTCTTGTCTAGACTGCTCCCAGGGTGGAGTCAGGCTGTGTCTTGGCATCTCTTTTTTTCCCTAGGGATGTATGTAGCCTTCCTCTCTGCACCCCCCTTCCCCCCACCCTGGTGCCTGCGTCAGTAGCTTATGGGGTCAGCTGCACACTCCTGCTGAGGCCCTCACAATATCCTTTAGGGACATACTAGGATCGTTCCCATTTTACAGATGAGGACACTGAGGCTCAGAGAAGTTCATCAAATTGCTCAGAAATGGCAGAGCTGGATTTGAACTCAGATCTGCCTTTTTCCAAAGCCTGTGCTCATGACCATTCTTTGTTCCATTCTCTAGAACCCATCTCTCCCACCCTCTGCTCCTGCTTCTTGGCTTAGCTCTTTGAGCTCACACCCAGCTGCAGAGGTCCCTGAAGGGGCAGTTGAGGCTTAGAAGGGTGTAGGGGGCTGAGAAGGTCGGAGGAGGAGAGACTCTTCTCACAAAAACAGCCTAGGAGGCCCTCCCCTGGCTTGGCCTGTGTGCCTTACACTCACTTGGTCTTGCAGTAGGCTACCACGCAGACGATGCCCACAACCAGCAGAGCCACGCAGATGCCGGTGATAGTCAGGACCCGCTTCTGGTACAGCTCCTCGGCTTCTGCAGAGGTGGAGAGGACGTGAGGGGCAGGGCAGGAGGTGGGCCCCTTGGGGACAGTGATGCAGAGACTCCCCCACCAAGCCCCATGCTCCCTCAAGCTCAGGCCCTGACAGCTCCACTCCACCCCTCTACCTCCAGCCAGTCCCTTCCCTGCTGCCTGCACCTGGATTGCTTTCTGCTCCCCCCACCTCCTCCTACTCTCACCCATCCAAGAATTTGGTCACAAACTACCCTTGAGTTCCCCTTCCCAACCCCATGCCCTTCCCAGAGCACATGAGTGGAAAATGCAGGAGGATGGGAGGGAGTAGGATGGAGAAGAAGCTCCCAAGGCTATAGGGTGGGGGGTGGGGGTGGCACGGCCCAGTCTGGCCAGTAACCCTGCCCTGCTCCACTATGGCCTGGTGGCTGCAAAGAACTTTGGTGAGCAGGGTGGGAGTTGTTACCAATGGCAGTTAATATAAACCCTGGGCAAAGGCTTGGCTCAGCTTCCCCAAGAAGGTGGAGAGAGGTTTGTCCTGGGCTGGTGGCAGGACGTCAGATGCAGAGGCTGGACTTAGGCGGGACACCAGGGCCAGGAGCAGAGACAGAGCAGACCGGGCCGTGGGGAGGGGGTAGGGAGAAAGGCCTTTGCTTCCACCTGAGCCCTGCTTAGGGTCATGGCCTGGCCCACACCAGCCCTCACTGTCTCTGTCTGTGAGAAGCCAACGAGTGGCAGCACCGCCCATCCAGCTGCCCGGGCAGCCCTTGTGCACAAGGAGCAGCCCCAACCTTTCTGGGGAGCTGAGCTAAGCTGGGCCTCAAAGCTCTTAAAAAGGCCAGCCTATCTCTACTCCCTATTACTCAGTGGGGCAAGCCCTACCCTTCTAGAACAGAGAAGGCCGGGAGAGAGAAAAGGAAAATGGTGCCAGAACTAGCCACAGGCAAGGCCTACAGCACAGAGACCCCACCCCTCCCCCACCCACTGGCTCCTCCCTCCACACTGCTCCCTTTCCCCAGGTCAGGGATAAGTGGAGACTGTACCCTGAATCCTTGGTGAAGCCCCGAGAAATGTCCCTAACCTGTTGGGCTTGCAGCACCTCCTGTGGCAAAGGTATACACCAGGGGTGCAAAGCCTTCAGACATGCATATACCTATGTGATACACAGATAGACCCCTTCACAAAGATACACTCATGTATATGTCCAGAGGAGCATATACATATGCACAGAAACACACACACAACAGAACTATCTGCGCACTGCAGTAACAGGCACACATACACACACCGTCATGCTCACCGACACAATCATGTGGCAATTTAAAATAAACAAACACACCTCCCCCCAGATTCCCAGCTCCAGCTCCACTTTCCCCATTTGCCCCTCAGTCCTCTCCAGGCATCTGTCTCCATCACTCCTCTGAGACCACTCTGGTCATGGTCACCAGAAACGGCCATGGTGTCAAGTCCGGGGGGATAGTCTTTCCCTTTCAGCTGACTCCCTCCTTCTGGAGCCACACTCCCCCTGGCTTCTGGATGCCCCCTCCCTCTTGGACTTCCTCTAGCTGTATTGGCTGATCTTTCTCTATTTGTCGCTGCTTCCTCCTCTTCTAACTAGTTGCCGACTCCAACTCATGGTGACCATAAGGTTTTCAATGGCTGATTTTTTGGGAAGGAGATTGCCAGGCCTTTCTTCTTAGGCATCTCTAGGTAGACTCCAACCTCCAGCCTTTTGGTTAGCAGCTGAGCACATTAACCATTGACATCACCCAGGGACTCCTCCTCTTCTACCTGTGTAGAAACAGTAGGGTCTGGGGCTCTCTGGCTTCTGTCTGCCCTCTCTCCTTCGTGGTCTCATCCAGACTCAGATGTCCCATACCATCTCTATGCAGTTGACTCTCAAATTTATATCTCCTGCTCTGACTTTCTTCTCCCTGAGCTCCTGACTCATGCATTTTAGGGCCATGGCCAGACAGAATTACTGATTTCCCACTCTTTCTCCAAACCTGCTCCCCGAGGCTTCCCATTTCATTGGTGGCAGTACCACCTTTCCTGTTGCTCAGGCCCAAACCTGGGAATCATTCTCCATTACTCCCTTTCTTCCCACCTACCCTGATACTCCATCCACCAGCAAGTCCACTCAACTCTACCTTCCCAATAGATCCTGACCCCTTCTTTTCATTTCTACCACTTCCACCTAATCCAAGATGATGCCATCCCTCACCTGAATGACTGTGGTAGCCTTCTAACTGGTCTCTCTGCTTCCACTCCCACCCCTTCCCCCACACCATAGTCTGATATTTACCCCAAAGCCCAATCTACTCACAACTGTAAAGCAGATCATTTTACCCGTCTGCTTAAAAACTCATGAATGGCTTCCCATTGCAACTAGAATCAAAGCCTTACCTAGCCTCTGAGGCTCCAGATGACCTGGCCCTGCTTCCCTTTGGACCTCAGCTTATAGTCCTCTCCCCCATGCTCCCTGTCCTCCAGACTCACTGCAGCTCTCCCACCCATCGCACAAGGCAAGCCCACGACAACCATGTGAGCGTTATACTTGCTGTTCCATTGCTGCAAATACGCTTCCCCCAGCTGTTTGCAGGGCTGGCTACTTTTCATCAGAGTTTATCCCCAGTGTCACCTCATTGGTAAAGCCTTCCCTGACAACTTAGCTAAAGTAGCTCCCCCCCCACCCCAGCTAGGCATTACGCTGTTAACCTATGTTATTTTCTGTATAGCACTTATCACTACCTGGTAGCTTTCCTGTTGGTTTGCTATCTGTCTCACCCCTGCAGACTGAGCTCTGGAGTGCAGGGACTCTGTGAGTTATATCCCCAGAGTCTGGTGAATTCTGGTGTTCAGTAGTTATTTGTTGAGTTGATGAGCGAATGACTATTCAGACCACCCTTAGAGCTAGATGCATACCTACATGTACTCACAGAATCACCTCTGCACACTCAGTTCCAGCTGCACAAAGATGTTTCACCGCACCCCTCCACGCCCTCCCTTCCTGCAGTGAGAGACCTAATAAGATTGGCACACTTTTCCCGCCACAGACAGAGAACCACACACAACATACACACACACAAACCTACGTGCTGCCCCAATCACAGACACCATACAGACTCGCCCCTCTTCTCCCCACCTCATCACAGTCAGCAGAGATAGACGGACATGCACTTCCACACGACTTGTAGCTGTGTTCTCTATATCTTTTACTGAGAACAGTTGATAGGGGCTAGGTAGTGGGGGAACTAGGGCCTCCTCAAACATGCCACAGAACAGCCTTTTCAGATCTGCAGGCTCCCACTCCCTACCATGTCTCCCCAAAGAAGCCTCAGCCCCTCTGAGCCCCTGGATTTCTCCTGCTGCAATATGTCTGGACACTTGAGGCCTGGGTGGAGCCTCCCAGCACAAAGCTAGAGAGTTGGCAAGACTGACTCCTCAAAGTCCCTTCCAGCCCAAGGAGTCTTCCAGGGGCCAGAGGGCAGCAGGGGTTGGGTGGAGGTAAAATTCTGAGCTGGATGGCGGGGGTGGCGGGGGTGGTGGGGGTGGTGGGAGGAGGCACCGTAGGCCAGCCCTGCCCCGCCCCGCCCCTTGCTTGTCTTGCCCACAGAGGCACACGAGTGCCATTGTGAAGACTGATCATGGAGGGAGTGACAGCCTCATGCAGATGGCAAAACTTGGCAAATACAGGGCAGGAGGCAGACATACAGGGAGTTTTCAGCCACCAACCTAGTGCAGAATGAAAAGCAATGGAAATGGAAATGGTGAAAGGAAGGAGGGTTGAAGTCAAATTAAAAGGGATGCCTCTCTACACAACTTTCCAAACAAGGTTTCTGGGGCTTCCAGACATGGGCTCTTCCACATTAGCACACAGCTCAGGAGGGGCCCCTCCCCTCAGGAATCTGTGGAAGGGGCGCTAGTGCACACTGGGGGCACAGTCTGTACCCCAGGGTACGTGCTATTCATGAGCTTCACTTAATTACCCCCAAGTCAACCTAGTTTACGATAAGGCATCTTGGTGGGGCCAGGAATGATTTTTGGAATCATCCCTTTTACATTTTTTTGGAAAAGAAAGAAGACATTCAGCACACATGGTGTCAGGGGCTGTGGAGAGGGGCTGAGTGGATGGCTCTGAGTGATACATAAAGGTTCCGTACCCTTTAATTCAAATCCAAGATGCTCTGGCAGTGCAGAAGAGAGGAGGGTCAGAGAGGGAAGGAGTGGAGGCAGAGAGAGAGATGGGGGAGGGACAGAGGGTTGGAGAGGGAGAGAGAAAGAAAGACATGTTGGTCAGGACTCTTCAGACACCGGCAGCCAGTCTGTGAGGTGAAAGCAGGTTAGTGGTGTCCCCTCCCCGCCCCCTGAGCTCCTTCCCTGGCACCCAGTCCCCAAAAGCCCCTGAGGGGGTGGAGAGAGGAAATGTTAGAGTCAGCAGGCAGGGAGGGTTCTTTAGAGATGAGCCGTGGGAGTTAGTACCTGGTGGGGAGGCAGAGGCGCAAGAGTCAGTTGGCAAATGTCCCCAGGGAGGAAAGGGCAGTGGAGGTGAGGGTACGAGAAGCCCCCATTCTCTTCCTCCAGCTCTAGTGCCAGGACCTCCAGCACTCTCAAGCCCCACCTGGAGATGGCTTACCCAGGGCCCAGCTCACTCAAGGGCACTATTTTCTGCCCCTCTTCCCAGCATCCTTGCTGGGGCCTCTTTTCTTACCAGGACTTTCTTACCAGAATTTTCTCTGTTCAGAACGAGGGTGTGGGGCATGAGGACTGGCTCCATGTCCCTGTCCTGCCCCACAGGCCTAGCTGACCTGCTCATGTACTAGGAGCCTGGGCATGGATACTCAGAGCTTGTGGGGAAGCACTCTGTAGTGGAGCAGGAGTGAGGAGAGAAGGCAGGCCACTTCATTTGACACTTGAAACCTCCCAGAAGCCTACAGAAGCTAGGCCACAGGGTCTGAGCCTGATTTCACTACTTGTAAAAGCAAACGGCCACTCAGAGAAAGAGTCAAGCAAGTTCACTTGTGGAACATCTGTGCTCCTCACATGGTGGACAGGTCACACTCTTTGAAGTGGAACCATGCTGTAAATGTATGATTTCAGGGCCCTGAGAGGTAGATATCCATGCCACGGAAGCCCAAGAGTCAGCTCAGCCACTGACCCGCTGTGTGATCCTGAGCAACACCCAGTTGATTTTGGTCTCAGTCTCTTCATCTGCTAAATGGGAATCAAGACTGGCCATGGGATTTCTGAGAGGTTTGTAAACCAGGCTGTGCTTCGTAATGATCCAAATTAGTGGAATCACAATCTCCAGGGCAGGAGCCCAGAAATCTCTAGAGCGTTTTCATGATGTGTGGATATGGGTAAATCATAGTCCCTGTTTCCTCATCTGTCAAAAGTGCCTGTCCATAGACAGAGAAAGATGTAGCAGGCCTGGAGAGTGTGAGGCTCAGGCCCTGCCAGCCAGATTTGCCCACTCTGTGGCTTCCCCATATGTACAATAAGCTTCAGCTAGATCCAAGGAGGAGCTGGAAATTGTGTTCTGATGTGCTTATCCCCTGCAGAGGAAGGAGAGGAAAGGAAGAAGCCAGCAGGGAGTCCTGTGGATTATCCATCCCTGGATCTCTCCACTGCTTCTGATGGAGTTCCCAGAGGGTTCTGCATTTGGAAAAGGGCAGGAGAGTAGGGTGGCTCTGAGCCAGAGGCCAAGATGGCTCTGACTGAAAGCACCTTAAGAAAGATCTGGAGCTTAGTCCCCACAGTTCCAAGCAGAGACCACACTGGCACTCCTGTTCAACCTGAGGTTGGGCAGTCAACATGAATTTTTGGTTTCTTTGCTGTCTTATAGCTTGGAGAAAGGAGAAAGTCACCATAAGCACAGTCAGGTCCGCCCCTCTCCCAGGGCCTCCCTGTGCTGGCCAGCGGAGCTGAGCACACAGTACAAACTTGACAAACTCTAAAGGTCCTCCAGGGAGCTCTCACTGAGTAGTTCATCCTGTGGTCCCAGGGACCCTCCAGGCAGCTCGGGAGTTCTCACATTGTTTGAATGCCTAGTCCTGCCCCGCTGAGAGTGAACAGCTCCGCTTGATCAGAATACTTGGGGACACTAAGAGGACTACGGTTCATAGAGCTGGTCTGGGTCCCACTTTTGGATAAAAGCTGTTATATTAGGTTAGACAGCTGGGGCCCAGTGGTGCTAGGACACTTTCCTAAGGTCACACAGCAAATTAGGTAGCAGAAGGAGGATGGGAGGCCAGGCCTCCAGTCCCTTGGTACTAAGCCCTGGCTATTCCTGCCCATTGAGCAGGTCTGCCTGCTATATTGAAGACAATGACCATCTGGAAAACTGAGCAAGGCTCCCAAAGCCCTGTAAGAGTTTCCTGCTGCATCACCCTCTGGGAACCAAGTGGTAGCAGCAGCGGCTTCTGGGCTCCTGATTGGCCTCCCCTTTGAGTCAAAAGCCAGTGCTGTCTGGGATGGATAGGCAGTGGCTGTTGTGACTGGTGATGCCACTGAGGGCTTGGCCAGTCACCAGGACGGCAGTCCTGCTTCCCTCTCACTGGGAAGTAGGGAGGTGGATTCTGAGGGGCCTCCAGCTATGTATGCACCAGCACTCTCCCACTCATCGTGTTCACTGGCTGCCACTCAGCTTGGATGGGGCTGGCACTGGCGAGTCACAGGCAGGTCCTATGGGGCAGAAATTTGCATACTGATCAGTAACCATGGCAACCTGATGCTGGACTCCCAAGGCCAGGCTTACCACACAATATGCAAGTTCCTGGACATGTCCCATGACACACAGTCACAAGATGCCTGGACAAGGAGGGAGTAGTATGGGCACCAGAGCACATGCTTGTGTGTGTGCATGTATGCATGCAGGCATGTGGGCTCTTTTGCACAGGGCTGTGTGTAGAGTTGGACAAGCTTGGATTCTTGGAGTGGAGGGGCTGTCAGTGGAAAAAGAGAAGCTTCAAAGTGCTATTCTGGCCACAGGCTCCATTTTTTTGGCTCTGCAAAGGGTAACCTGGTCAGACACCTTGCTCAGGATGCTGGGAGTCAGGCGCTAGGGGATTGATGCTGCTCCTCCAGCCCCTACCCTCATACTAGTTGTAGCTGGGAGAGGTGCTACACATTCTTCCAGCCACAAGGTTCTCTGCTATGCCCTTCATATGTGTCATTTCATTTCATCCTCACAGCAACCCTATAGCCATAAATATTGTTATCCCCATTTTACAGATGAGAAAACAAAGTCAGAGGTTAAATGAGGTCCCAGAACTAGTAAGTTCAGCAGCTGGCAGTTTTATTCAGGTCTATGAATCTGGAGCCCTGGTGGTGCAGTGGTTAAGAGCTTGGCTGCTAACCAAAAGGTCGGCAGTTCAAATCCACCAGTCACTCCTTGGAAACCAAATGGGGCAGTTCTACTCTGTCCTATAGGGTTGCTAGGAGTCAGAATTGATGGCAATGAGTTTTTTAATCTGAATCTAAAGCCTGAACACTTAAGCCAACACTACCTTTTCAAGAATTATCTGACAGAGAAATGCATGAAGTGTTCTCTGTGAAAGTGCTTCAAGAGTATAAATCCTTTATAAAACAGTAACAGTAATAATAATGATAGCACTAGGCAGCAAGGCCGGGTGCTGCATTTCCAGGCTCATTTCTGGGGGCCTGTGGCCCTGCTGACCCTCCCAGCAGATCTGGGCTGAAAGCTGAAGCAGCCCAGCTGCCAGAGAAGCCTTGGATAGCAGCCAAGTTCCAGACAGGCTGGGACTCCCTGTCCAGAACAGTCCCATAATCCGAGGAGGCTCTGGGCCTAAGGGTGAAAGGAATATGCCTACCATTGCCTCTCTCCCTGATCCTTGTTCTCTGCTCCCTGCCCTGTCTTTCCTGCAGTCCTTCCTGCTCTACACTCCTCCACATGGGGCTGGATTGGACTCTGCAGTTCTTCCCGGATCTTGGGCTCTGGAGAATTCTGTTGGGCCACACTCCTGCCCACAGGTTCTGCCCTTATCCCCATGGCCTTCCTCCCTGGCCCTGGTTGTGCTCATGGGCCTCCAACAAGAGAGGCCTGGAGAGGTGCTGCATCCCACACCCTATCAAGACAGTTGGCCATCTGGGCTAACTGGCCCCCACCTGCACTGGGGCCTCGACTTCCCTCTCCAAGTCTTGGCCTCTAGGCTCCTGTGTGGAGGGGCAATTTCTAGGCTTTTGTGCTGTGGTCTGAAGAGGACTGGGAAGGTTCATTTCTCCATTCGGAGACTCAAACCCCAAAATCCTTTTTCCCCAAGGGCTACCTAAATGGCCCCCTGGACCCTGCCCTCAGCATCTTCCTGAGATCCACCTCCCAATGCTCAGGCGCCATCACACTCCGTTTCCTAACTCCTCATGGCACCTAGCTGTCCTTCCTGGACAGGTGGATTTGAGCGGAGGGCCGGGCAGGGGTCTAGTCTGCCCTGCAGGATGGCATGGGCTAATCAGGGATGGGCCCTGCAGGCCAACAGACCATTGGGTCCCAAACAGAGTCCACAGCTGGCCAGTAGCTTTTTGCTCTGCTCCACCTCCACCTGGTGGTGCTTGAAAGAATTGCTCCCAGGCCCCAAATAAGTGTTTGCAATTATGGCCGCATCCTTGGGCCGTGGGGCTCACATTTTTTTCACCAAATTGTGCAAACAAGAAAGCTCCAACCTCCATAGTGGAAAAAAGGAAGGGAACGCAGTCCTGGGTGGGGATTCAAACCAGAGAGATCCTGGAGAGAGTCTCCGATTACCCCTTGAGTCCTCATGTCTATTCTGTAGCCACATATATGTCTCTAGTCTTTGGTATCCATGGAAACCATAACTCTGGGTTCTGCTCTCCCTCAATTACCCCTCTACCCCCAAAACAAAACAAACTCTGATCAGATCGGAAGACAGGCTTTCTGAGAACTTCTTTCTCTCATGCTCCAACACATCGGCACACTCATGCATACACTCACTGCCAGGCCCCATCAGCAGTCTGGCACCCTCAAACAGGCCTTCAGAGGCAGGTGAGGGCTCAACAAATGCCTCTTCCCATTCTGGCCAGGCTGCCTGACCCCAGAGGTTGTGAAAGGCCCGAGTGTGGCTCCTGCTGGCTGAGGAGAGAATCCAGCATTACTGTGCCCAATGGTATAGCCCATGTGTGGAGGTGGAGGTGGCAGGGGCTATACTGGTCTCCTCTGCACAGGCTTCTGGTGCACACTGAAGACTGAGAGGAGCCCAGGACATCGCCTGCATCCCGCCGCCCCCCCCCACAGTCTCACTAAGCAAGGCCCCATCCCTCCCGCAGCGGGAGATTGTCAGTCACCAGGGAAGAGAAGAAATAGAAGTAAGAGACATACTGGAGAAGTTGACCATTGCGAACTGCTGACACCTGTCCCCGGTGTATCCCACAGGACACCTACCAAAAGAAAGAAAACCAGAAAGAGAGAGCCAGGATAGCAAGACACAGGCATCGCAACACCCCGGCACAGGCTCCTGCCAATGCCAGCTGGGTTCCTTGCCACCGTTACCATTTGTACTGGCCTTGCCACTCTGCCCCTTACCTGCAGCCCTGAACTTTAAACCCAAGGATTAGGCCAAAAATGAAAAACAAAGCAAAACAAAACAAAACAAAACAAAAGAACTAACAAACCAAAATACAAAAAAGAAAAAGAGAAACAAAACAAAACAGCCAAAGATCAAAACAACCAACACCCCTGGCCCTACGCCCTACATCGGGGGGGACTGCACCCGGAAGCTTTCTAAGGAGCAGGGACTTGTGTTTGTATCTTCAAACATACTTTGCTTAGGATCTGGCATGTACAATCGCAAAGGCAGTTTCTCCAAACATCTCTGTCCGAAGAATCCGTTTGGACATCTGGAGAAGGAAAAGGGGAAAAATCACAGAACAAACTGGCATCATCCGCGAGGCTAAGGTTAGAAATCAAAGTGCACAGTGATGAATGAGAAAAATCAAGTCAGGCACTTGGGGTCACACTTGTAGCTGAAGGGCTGGAGTCAGGGCTGGGTGGAGGGCTCTGAAATCTCATAAAAAAATCTCTCTAATAGATGTGGCTCCGTGGGTGGTGGGGAGGGTGGGAGGGGCGGGGAGGAGGATGACTGAGGGAAGTGGGGTGGGGGAAGATGGGAAGTTACCGACTCATTGTCCCAATGGTCATTAAAACTTTCCTTCTTACCTGCCTGGTGCCCCATGAAGCCAGAACTGTAGCCCCTTGGTGCCAGGCAATCACCTGGCAGAGCGCTGGGAGCCTTGAGGAATACCAAGTTATTGGGAGCCGCTCCTTTCAGTCCCTACAGAATGATTCTCTCCAGGGCCCTTGGCAGGTGTTGCTGTCCATGAAACAGCCTCCAGAAAGGTCAGAGAAGAACTCCAGAATGCTGTTCCCAGACTGTGTGCCCATGACAGAAGTGACCGTGGAGATGTCTTATCTAGTCTCTCAAAGAGGTTTTCTGTGGCCAAATAAGTTTAGGAAATCTATTCGCAAGGCTCCTTGTGGAGTTGCAATATATATCAGCATATGAAAGGCTATGAAGAGTTTTGCAAAAGGAAACAGCTAAACTTTCCAGTATTTCCCAAATTTATTTGACCATGGAAATAGTTTTCTGAGGAAACCTTGTAGAACACAGTTTGAGGAAGGCTGCTGTAGAGCAATATACATGGGAAAAGCTTAGTGGGGAAAAGGGGGGATTAGAGAAGAGCCAGAATTACCAGCATCCCAAAGCTGGCCTTCCCGAGGCCAGATGTACAGTATTTGGCCTCAGGTGACAAGAACCACAGTGGAGCTGGAGCAGGCTCACTGGGTACACTGGGAACCTGTTCCATATCAGGGGCCTACTGGCTGCCTGGGAAACTTGCCCTTTCCCCATGACCTGCTCCTCCATCACTGCCTTGCTCTGGCCTGGGTCTCATTCTCCCATCTTGCCTCCTCTATAGCACCACCCACTCCCATCTCCCTGTCTCATCCCCATCCCAGATGTGCACTTCCTTCTGCTCTCTGGCTGCCACTCCTCCTCTCAAGCGAGCCTCAGTCTCACAGATTTCTGGGAGACATGCCCAGCCCTGTACTTGCTTCTGAACCCCCACCCCCTAGACAGCCCCTGACTCAAAGATGGATCTATGTTGTCTCTGCCTCTTCTTCCTTAGGAAATTAGGTAAGCCCATCACCTCTTCAGGGTTTTACCAGTGTCCTCTCAACAATAGGCTACTGTTCATTATTAATCAATCACAACTTCCTCAAGAGGTGAGTGTGCTCTACTGCTTAGCATTGTAGTATACACTGACCATGAGCAAGTCCCTTGGGCTTAAGGTGGGTAGTGGCCACTGTCTGTGATAGATACTCATGAAAACCCTGTGGCCCCCAAATCTCACCTGGAAGAGTGGAGAATGAGTGTGGTAGGTGGCAGAGAGCTGGAGTTTCTCTGGGCCTTGACGGAATCTCTCTCAGAGGAGGCAGGAATCTGGTCCTTATAGTGGTGGGAATGTGCCTAGCCAACGGGGGGTGATGGAGGGCTTGGAAGTGTGCCTGTGGCTGCTAATGAGTTTGATGCACACTCATCCTGGTGGGCATGATGGCTTGGAGAAAGAGGCTACCTCCAGCCCCTTGTCAATATATCCTTCTCTGATCCCTGGGCCTGGTCCCTAATCGTCCCAGTCTAGGAAAATGAAGGTAGTGGCTAAGGCTTCCCAACCAATGCCAACCAGGCTCAGCTCTTCTTCCTTAGCTCTAGAAACTGATGTCCACCTGGGTTGGGAACTAGAGGGGGAGAAGTGATTTTTCAAGAGGAAGTGCCTTTGGGGATAGAGGACAAAGACCCATGAAGTCGCCAAAATGACTCTTGGAATCCACAAAGAAACAAGAAAGAAATCCATTTGTGTCCAGTGTTGAGATCAGCCCAGCTCTTGGAGGAAGGGAAAATCTGTGTAGTATGTGTGTGAATGTGTGTGTGTTTCACAGGGAGAATGGAGGTGTGCGCGGAGCAGGAAAGCACAAGGGGGAAATTTATTCCCATTGCTGACAAGCAGGGCTGCTGTCCCATGGCTCTTGGAGACCAATGATAACTAAACACAGCCCTGATCCCCGATCCTACCTCCAGCCTGGACTACTCAACTGCATCCTCATGTCTTTCATGGCCACTGAGTTGCACAACTCCAGGTGGTGCCATTGACATGGTCTACAACACAAATGATAACCTCTGGAGATGTGCAAAATTATGGTTCTAACTTTCCTGCCCTGGGAAAGCACGTTCCCCACTCACTGAACAAAAGAAAAGGCACAGTGTGTGTGGGATGACTGACACCCAAGGCAGGTCTGTGGGGCACTGGCTCCTTCTAGGGGGCCCCTGGACACTCCTATCTCTCTCCTTAGCCCTGCTTGTTGAGGAGGAGACATGTCCAGGAGGCTGGGGCTTCCCTAGAGAAGGTTCTGGGGGTGAACCTATAGCCCTCTAACCTGCACTCAAAACCAGGGTCAAAGTGTACAGGGTACATTAGTCTATAAACCAGGATGGGCATCTGAACTCAATGTGAGTGGGTGGCTGGTGGTTTCCCACTCAAACAGGGATTTACCCTCCGAGTTTCAGGGGCACAGAGGACAGATTAGAAGGAGCAGCAGGTAACAGCCTTCCCAGCCCTTCCCACCAAGTCATCAGCTATGACTATGGGAAGGTCTGTACCCAGGGCTGGAGAAGAGCAGGGGTGAGAGGGGCAGAGAGGAGAACCCACGGGCTGCATCTGGGGTGACAGAGAGGCCAGGACTTCTACCTCTCCATTTCCCCACCCCACCTCCCGGGCCTCAGTTTCTCCTTTTAGTAGCCTGGGGATAATGCCACGTGTGCTGCCCTCACCCGGAGGAGGGAGAGGATGAAGGATGAGGGTGTGCCCCCAGGCACTGGAGGGGGTGAAGGTCTCTGACCTCATGAGGGGTAGGGGTGGAGATGTGATGAGGATGAACAGGCAGATGGGTATGGGATGGGGAACCACCTGGACGCAGGGGTGCTAGGAGACAAGGGGTGGGGAGGATGAGCCAGTGGGAAAGGGAAGCATGCCACTGGTATGTGCACAGGGCTGGAAAGAGAGTCTTGTTCTGTCATCATCCCCTGAACCAGTCCCCGAGAGTCACGCACCAACCGTGCTCTACAAAAACACGGAGAGAAGAGGAGAAAGCAGCAAGAGGAAGTGCAGAGGCCCCTGTCTGGCCCAGACAGGAGACAGTCACCTTGATTTGGATCCCCATTTTCAAAACCCCCCTGAGTTTTCTTTTTTTAAAAAACAAAATTCAGTATCAGTGACACTGTTTCTTTTGGCTCTGAATTCCAGAAAAACAGGAGGGGCGGAGTGTGCCTGCTTTCCAACACTCCCTGCAGGGCTCTGAACCAATACACAACAACAAGTGTAAGAAAACCAGGAAGGAAAACTGATTTTTATAGAAACTGGAATGAAACTGACCAGTCTAGTTTCATTACCCAAGCTAAGCGGAAATGCAAAAAAATAAAAATAAAAAGTAAACAAACAGCACAAATGGTAAGACGTGAGTTCCGTTTCCTAAATGCTTTCCTTTTTATTCCATTCAGGTGTCATCACGAACCCCAATTGGCCTGCCCCCCTTCCCTCCCAGCTTGCCCGCTCCCAGAATGGCCTCTGGGCTCTGCCCTGCCCCCCACTTCCCACCCTGCCCTTCTCCAGCACAGCACTGAGTATCTGCCCTCTTGCCAAGGCAGGGGCTGCATTTCTTATTGCCCGCAGTCCCTGCCAGGGATGCCCTTTTCCCCTGAGGGCTGACAAATGGAGTTAGGGAAGTTGGTTCCAGGAGCCTGGGCTGGGCCTGACCCAGAGGGGATTGAGATGAGTGGGGGGTGGGGGTAGTAGGTACCAAGTTCAAGGCCTAAGCAGTGAACCCCAGTGGCCCTGGCTAGGGGTGGAAGTGGGGTGGGGGACAGGATACCATCTTCTCGATGGCTCAGGCTCCTGCCTCTGCTCCTCTCAGATTTAAGGGGTCCTGGGTGTGCAGCTTTGCTGGCAGGGCCTCTGGAAGCCCATAGATCTCATCACTCTCTTTCCCACACTAAACTCAAGCACTGGAGCCCTGGACCCTCATGACCCTGGAACCAGGGGCTGATTCCAGTGACAATGCTTGATTCCTTCAAGGTCCAGGGGCCCAAGGGGTTAGGGAAGAGGAGAGACCGGGGCGGGGGGGGGGGCAAAAGGAGAGGGCTGCAGGGCTGGGCTGTGCCTGTGAGGTATGCCAGAGCCCTTGTGAGTTTCTAGTAGATCTGTTCCAAAGAGCTCAGAGCATTTTCAAGGCTGGCATGTTCCCAGGGTCTGTAAGACTAATGTGATAGCCTCTCAGGGGAAGAAGGGGAAGGATGAGGGCTGAGTCCAGGCTGGGGACTCCCTAGAGGACCTGTTGTCACAGTTTGGACTGTCTCCTGAGATTCAGGATGGGGGGAAGAGGGGATGGCAGCAGGTGAAGGGTAGGACCAGAGAGGCCAGCTGAGGGCAAGAGCCACAGTTGTGCCTGGCAATCCAGGCCAACCTAACCCAGCACCAAGATGTGGGTTTGAAGGGGGCACGGACTCTCATTATCACATTGTTAGGTGGAGGGGCCTTTAAAAGTCCTGGTCTCCTCACCACGCCTCACGTGGGGAAGGTTGTGGCCCAGGAAGGAGCTGCAGATCTGGAGCCAGAGGCCAGAGAGAGTGGTCTTTGTCTGCCTGGGGCAGGAGAGCCGAGGCATGCTGGACTTGGCCTTATTTGTGGGGAGACCAATCACTTCTCTCTGATTTCCATCCATACTCCCAGATGCCATGGGAATGGGGCAGCTTTGGCACCTTGCTAGTGTCCTAGACTCAGGCTGCTTTGAAAAACCAAAGTTGTTAGCTAGCCTCCCTCCCCGTCTTCCCCAAGGTCTGCCCAGAGCCTGTGTTGCCCTCACCAAGCTCCCCTGACTCCTCACTCACCTACCAGAGAATCTATCAAGAAGGCGCTGTGGGCCCAGCTGTCCAGACAATCTAGCAGGGCCTGAACAAGCCCTCCCTCATTGCCATGTCCCCAACTACCCTATTTGCTCAGGGGAGGAGGTGGTTCTGAGCTCCTTGGAGATCCTGCTGTGGCAGCCCCACCAGGCTGGAGAGCAGGCCCTGACCCTTAGCAAGGCAGAGAAGCCCAGACTTGAGCCTCTCTTCAACCCTGACCTCCCACATTGGGCCACCCCCAACGTGGTACCCTTGCTAATGTCTGGGCAGCTCCCTCTTAGCACTGCCCCTCACCCCATAGGGAGGGGGTTAGGGACTGAGGGGGGTCAGGAAGCACCCAGAGCATATATGGACACTGAGGTTCTGTAGGGCAGGGGGAGCAGCCAGATCCTGAGGCAAGACCTGGGTTCTCCCCTCAAGACTATGAGAGCAGGACCTTCAGCTACCAAGGGCCATGGAACCTGTGCACTGCCTGACCCTGCCAGGCTCTTCACTGCTGGGGAAGACATGCCCTGGGAGATGTTCATCAAGAACAACACTTGGAGAGTTGCTGAGAGACTGGGGGAGGGAAAAGGGAGACAGTGAGAGATAGAAAGAGAGAGAGAACAGACTCCCAGTGTCCACAGAAGGCATAGACTGGCCTCCTCATCTCCCTAAAGGGTGTTGGTGGAAGGGTAGACATTGGGAGGTGGAGTGGGTAGGGGCCTGGGAAACTGGGACAGCAGAAGCCCCTGAGCCCCTTAGAGCTTACATCTCCCTATATCCCAGGAAAGGGCTGGGAAGTGGGGCACACCTCACCGCCTACACCCCTTGGGGATCCCTTGTCAGTGGCTTGCAGTTCACTTTTCCTAGAGCCCTCCACTTCTGCCCCAGCCTCTCCCACCCTACTCTTGCCCCCATGCCCACCCCCACTGGTCACTTACTTGCAGGAGAGCTGGTTGATGCCTTCAATGTAGTAGCAGACGCCTCCATTGACACAATAGGACTTAGCTGTCTCGTTGCACTTCCGGGCGTGCCCCGACCAGGATGACAGAGTGGTGCTTACTGGGGGTATGAGAGACACGTGCCAGTGACCCACTAGGACCACCTCAGCCCCCAGAGTCTACTTCCTTCACGGCCCTGAATGTCACACCTCAAAGCTGGAAGGTCATCAGAAACTGCAGCAGTGACAGTGGAGGGAAGGCCTGCTGTTCCCTCTCAATCACCAACAAGGCAAATGGGAGGCTACCATGAGCTGGGACTGTCTTCCCAGAGAGGTCCTACACCCCTGCTCTGGGGCAAACCTTCAAAGGCCAGGAAAATTTTCTTTTTTTGTGGGGGTGTTGTAAGAAGTTAGGAGAAACCACATTCTCTGCTGAATAACTCTGTCCCTTCCCTGCCTGACTTCTAGGGGACTCCCCTGCAGGTGGGTGGGATGTGGACATCTGATGTGGGAGAACAAAGGCACAGGGTGGTGCAAGGAGGTGATCCCGACATTTTCTGCACTGCTTGGGCTCTTAGGGTGGACCTGGGAGTGGCTTGAGGGGGCTGGGGGTGGGGATCTGGGTCTTGAGGGGAATGGCACCTGTTGGACACTGTCATTTTCTAAGATTTGGGAAGATGGTTGGGGGAACCCTAGCTTCCACTCTGTTTCTCTTTGCTGTCAGGGCTGAGCTGGCTACAGGCCTTGCATTAAGGCTACAAAGGCCACTTTGCCCCATCTCCGCAGCATCCCTCGTCTTCTCCATGTCCCCAAGCCAGGCAGCCCCCATGTAGCCAGCTATAGCCTGGGGAGGGGCAGAGCTCTGGGCCTTAGACAGCCCAGACCGTACATCATGGGCTTCAGGCTGCTGGGGAAGAGATGGGGATTGGGGAAGGGAGGCAACTGGGATATGAAAACTGGGTGAGAACAGGACTGGGCTTTAAGGCTGTTGGCCCAGACTGCACATTGGATTGATCAGATTTGTTTGCTAAAGGAAGATAACTAAAGTTCTGCTCCCATCAGGATGGTATCCAGGAAGCTGGTTTCAAGTTAAAATTCTTGCTCCAAACATCAGTTTCCATCTGTAAGATAGCCCCCTTGGCTTTGTGTCCAGATCGAGGAGTCAGAAACAGGCTCAGTGCTCTGGGGTCTGAGGGCCCCTACTCCCATCCAGCAGTGGCCTCCTGACTGAGGTGGCCCATCCTACCTTGGCTGGCCCTGTCTCCCCAGGGGTCTGAGTCTCTACCACCCCCACAGGAGTAGGGGTGAGAGGAGGAGAAGGAGGGCAGGCACTTGGCGCCCTCAGTGTTTAGACATGTGGGGAGACAGATGGAGTGCGGAGGACTGGGAGTGTATACACAGCTCTCCTCTGTATATGTCTGAGGAGCTCGCTGATAAAACCCAGCGGGCAGGGCTAGCTCCCACCTTCCCCTCCACATTGTGCCTGCTGCTGAGCTGGCATCTTGGGGCCCCACTTCTGCATCTTGGGGTCTCCCACCTATGCTCAAGCCTAAACCCAGTTGGGTCCCCCATGCTGGCTGGGGAGAGGAGGTCTCCTGTTGGTCCTGCCCCACTTTGGGTCAGTGAGACCCAAGGAACTAGGAAAGGGACAGAGAAGAGAAACAGCCGAATGACCACACCTGCAAGTTGTAAAATCCTATTGCTGGGAGGACCTGAAAGGTTGTCCTGTGCTGTAGTTACACTGCAAAGCAGGAGTGAGGAGAGGGTGCTTGTCTGGAGTCACGATGTGCATTGTGACAAGGCCTCAGAGCCTCTCACCAGTCAACCAATCCCTTGTGGAAAAGCATGTCAGCATTAAGGCTTTATGAAAGCAGATGAATGCAAACAATACACAAACCCCAGGCCAGGGTCATCTTGTAGATCTTGGCTAAGTCATGGGAACTGCCAGGCCCAGCCCCGGATGGCAGAAGCTGCCCACTACTGTACCTCAGTGCTAGTTCTTCCCAAGATGAGGGAGCAGTGGACAGAGCAGTGAGGGTCCTGGGAGGCAGGACCAGAGCTGCACACTTGGGCTTGTCACACATACATGCCAGTGCTCATGAAGGCTTTGGGAGGCAGAAGCCATCTCCTGAAGGGAGCTGGGCCCCAGGCTGGGCTGGTTTGAGCCTGGGGCTACCAAAACCATGCTGCCACAGGGACTAGGCTGGGACCCAGTAAAGGCAGAAAGGGAGGGCAATGGGGGAGCCGGCCATAGAAGGCATGGGGAAGAGCAACCACAGGCCTTTCTGTCTCAGAAAGAAGTATCTTGGGGTCACCCCTCTGTGATGGCAGGGCCTTCTCAAGCCACTTCAGCCCAAATCTGGCTGTGGTGGAGCCACACGCCAGGACGATTTCCACCTGGAAAGGTGCATCCACACTGTGGCACAGGTACACGGTTCCAGCACATGTGGACTCCGGGGCAACATGTCTACACTCCCTTGTCAGTGTATCTGCATTTCTTCAGTGTGTCCTCCTGTGCTTGGAGAAGAGAAGGTGAAATATGGACTCTAAGTTGGAGAGTCTGGCTGCTCCCTTGACACTTCCACCTGGGTGACTTACAGCCACCCAAAACTCAACACATCTAAAACTGAGCTCCTACTCATCTGCCCCCAACTGGGCATCCTTGATTTCTCTTTTTCCTTTATTCCGCACAGCCGTCTATCACTGAGGTCTGCCATTTCTACCTCCTACAGAGTTCTTGACTCCTTCTTCCCCTGGTCCAGGCCACTGTTGTTTCTTCCTTGAAAGACCACAATAGCTTCCCTTTGCACTCAGAATAAAGTCCACCCACTCCTCCCCTCATCACCTCTTCTGCTTCATCTTCTACCCTTGTCTTTCACTATTCAAACTATGCTGGTCTTAGTTCAGTTCCTCTAACAAGCCAGGTGCCCTCCAGCCCAGGACCTCCAAAATATCAGTGTCTCAGATAGGCTGATCAGGCTCCTCCTTTATACCTTCTTTTAGTTTTGTATACTTCTACTTATAGTACTTATTCTAACATATTCAATGATTAGTTGTGTACCTATTAGTTGTTTAATGACTAGGTTACTTTACTAGAATGTAAGCTCCATCTGGGTAGGAGCCGTGCCAGTCATGTTTACTCTGAATCTCGATGTCTAGCAGTGTCTGGCACATAGTAGGTGCTTAACAAATATTTACTGAATGAATAAATTAACAAATTAACATCTGATTCTTTAAAGAAAGATGCCTTCTGCTACCATCCCAGGGGCTAGTCTGGCCTCCCTGGCTAATGCTGATATTGGATGGTCCTCTAAATTCTCTTTCTTGTAGATTAAAGCATTCTCACCTATTAAATGCAAGAATTCCTGGGAGGTTATTTGGGCAATGCAAATCAAAACTACAATGAGATACCACTTCACGCTCACTAAGGTGGCTATAATAATAATGATAATTAAGAAAAAGGATAACAAGTGTTAGTGAAGATGTAGAGAAATTGGAACACTCATCCATTGCTGCTGGGAATGTAAAATGGTATAGCAGCTGTGGGAACAGTTTGGTGGTTCCTCAAAAAGTTCAACAGAAATACCATATGACCCAGCAATTCCAATTCTATTATACCCAAGAGAACATATCCATACAAAAACTTGTACACAAATGTTCACAGAAGTATTGTTCATAATAGCCAAACTGTGGAAACATTACCCAAATAACCCAAGAACTCAAACTGATAAATGGATAAACAAAATGTATATCCATACAATGGGATATTAAGTAGCCATAAAAAGGGATTAAGTGCTGATACATATTACAATATGGATGAACTTTGAAAAGATAATGTTAAGTGGAAGAGTCAGTGACAAAAGGCTACATATTGTGTGATTTCATTTATATGAAATGTCCAGAATAGGTAAATCCATAGAGACAGAAAGTAGATAGTGGTTATTAGGGGGTGGGGAAGGAGAAATGGGGAGTGACTACTAATGTATATGTCTCTTCTTTTTGAGGTGATGCAAACGTTCTGGAATTAGATAGTGGTGATGGTTGCACAGCTTTGTAAATATACTAAAAACTACTGAACTGTATACCTTCAAAAGGGTGAATTTTATGGTATATAAATTATATCAAATTTAAAACTATGCCCCAGAAGGGTTAACCCAGGAAGCTGTTATCAGCCATTAGTGTCTTGGTGTTAATGCGTGTATCAGGGCCCTTGAAGAGTGCGAATGGGCCCAGATGGGAGTTGATGGTGTGGAGACACCTTCTCCCTGCTTCATGCTGCTGCAACTGCTCTTCTCCCTTGCTCACGGAGAAAACCTCTGCTTATCTTTCAAGCAGGGTTTCTAATCGTTCTGGTTTGAACCCCTGCTGAGAATTTGCATTTCTAACAAGCTCCCAGGTAATGCTAATGCTGCTGGTTAGGGACCAATTCTGAGAACCACTAGTAGAGCAGTGGTTCTCAAAGTTTATTATACATGAGAATCGCCTGTGGATCTTGTTAAACTGTAGATTCTGATTCAGTATATCTGGGGTGGAAATGCAAATTCTCAGCAGGGGTTTGAACTGGAACGAACCAGTCTGAAGCCCTGCTTTCAAGGCCCAGCTCAAGCGTCTTCTCATCCATTGGGGCTCCCCTCTCGTCTGCCTGGTAGCTCCTATCCCTTTAGTAAAGCTGCCTGTCCTGCCTCTTCAGTATGTTAGAACAGGCAGACACTTTGGAGTTCAGGTTTTAGCTTCCTGCTGTTTGAGGGACTAATGGGAGCCAAGACTGTGACTCCCCAGAGCTCAGAGCAGGGCCTTGCTGAATGCATGAATGAAAGCGTGCGTGTGTGTGTGTGTGTGTGTGTGTGTGTGTGTGTGTGTGTGTGTGTGTTTAAACAGCTAGTCTTTTTAAGTCTCCAGTCCCAAGGGACAGGTGGCCTTGCCAGGGCTTCCATGGTCCTGTGACACCCCAGGTCAAACTTGTCTACCCTATGGGACAAAGCCAGGCCCAGCCCAATATCCTGGGACTGGTACAGCCACCCCAGGACATTCCCAGGTTCCCTGTCACCTAGGGATAAGGCGGTGGTTTCTCTAACTCAGAGGTGGGTTGGAACAAGCTGACTGTTTTGCTAAAAGCACCACAAACTTCCTGCCAGGCTCCTCCTCCCAGCCAGCTCAGGAAGACAGGGTGCCTCATGTGAGCTGGCAGGGCTACGACTGCAAGGGGGGCCTACTCTGATTTGGGGAAGGAGCATCGGGCTTCACCCGAACAGAGCAGTAGCCAGCCAGGAGCTGAAGTGATGACCCTGGAGGAGTGCACTGCTCCTCCTGGCCCTGCCATCCCTCTTCTGGTGGCCCCACCCCTGTAGCCCTGGCTTCCCTGGGGCCTGGGCGGGCCAAGCCAACCTACCTTGGGATGAGTCAGAGGGGGGCAGGCACAGCTGCCCGCTGTCCGCCCTCCGCCCCCTCCCCAGGGTGCGGTTGCTGCAGGTCTCCTGGGTTCTGTGGGTAAACAAGGAGCCCGGGCATCTCTGCCTGGGAGAATGTCCCCAGTGGGGCCCTCCTGGTCCCCTGCAGCGACCCTGGCCACTTCGCTACATCAAGGGTAGGCTCTTGCCTGCCATGGACTGCAGCAGGGCAGCAGAGGAGGTGTACTGTGTACGTGTGTACCGTGTATGTGTGCATACTGTGCACATGAGTATGTGGTGGCTCAGGGTACAGGATGTCAGTCTCAACGTCAGACTCAGAATCCCAGAATTTTAGGGGGAAGGGACGCAGAAACCATCTAGCCCAGCCCCACGATTTGTAGATGGAAAAACAAAGACTAGGGAGGTGGAGTAACTTGCTTAGGGTTGCGTGAAGTATCTGCTACTGGACCAAATCTCTGAACTCTTTCCATTGCTCTGTCCTTCTGCTCTCCTGCCAGGCTGGAGGGACAAGGGGCAAGGATCCCTGTGGGAGGCCTGGGATTCCAGGTCTGCCCTTAGCTCCTGGACCAAAGGCTCTGCTGTCTGATTCTCAACCTGATTAGAGCATGGCTCCCGGAGGGCTGACAGGAGCCTGGTGTGGGGTGAGGCTGCAGCTTATCAGGGAGGTCCCACAACCTTCCCCAGTCTCAGGCCCCAGGCCCTGGGCAGGAGAGAGGGCACTACTGTGGTTTTCTGCATGGCAGCCCTCCCTCTTCCTCTGCTAATAGGGAAGTGCCCCTAGAGAGTTCTAGCAGGGCCATCTCTCACAGTACTCTGCCTCTCAGTAACCCCTCTGCCATGCACAGAGATGAGTGTGCGACCCAGGCATGGCAAAGATGGTAGCCCAACCCCCTGAACACAGTGATTAGGCCAAGCAGGGTCTAATCAGAATTCATCCTTGTATATGGACACAGAGAGAGCTGCCTCTTTTCTCTGGGTGGCTGGCTAGGGTGATATAAACCTGGAGTTGTCTGAGGCCATGGCCTCTCTTCCCACTCCATTCCCCAAACACGGGAACACAGTAGGAAAGAGTGTCATGACCCACAATCTGAGTTCTTGGACCCTGTCATGTCTGGGGTCAGTTCTATCTTGGGACTTCCCAGTTTTATAAGCCAATACATAAACTTAAGATAGTTTTAAGTTGAGTTCTTATCAGTTGTAGCCAAGAAAGTCTTGACTAATAAAACAGGAAAACCCCACATCCAAAGTGGCTCTGAGAATGTCTGTCCTCTATGGCTGGAGATGGCAGATGCTGGACTCCAGGCATGGTCCATTGTCCAGGCCCCTGGATGGGAGGAGCAAGGGGCCCAGGTACCCCCCACTGCTACCATGACTGGGCAGGAGTACGAGGAAGTTAGTAAAGGCCTTGGAACAGGTTGTAAGTTCTTTTATATAATATTTACTAGACAGCTACAATGTGCCAGGCACTGTGCTAAGCCCCGAGGGGTAAACAAGATACACACGACCCTGTGGCGCTCACAGTCTAAATGTCTACCAGTCACTACCTCCTTGTATAGCTCTATCACTGGCTAGCTGTTTGACCTTGGGCAAAATATCTAACCTCTCTGAGCTTCAGTTTCATAATGTATAAAATACATCATGCTTTTGAGTAAGTGTCCATGAGATAATGCAGAACCTGCCACGGAGTAAGCTCTCAATAAATAAACCAGTTGCTGTTGAATCTATTCTGACTCATTGCAACTCTACATGTGTCAGAGTATTACTGTGTTCCATAGGGTTTTCAATGGCTGATTTTTCAGAAGTAGATCACCAGGCCTTTCTTTTGAGGTGCCTCTGAGTGGACTCGAACCTCTACCCTTTTGGTTAGCAGTTGAGCATATTAACTGTTTGTACTACCCAGGGATTCTTCTCAATAAATAGTAGCTATTACTGTTACTCCTGGGGAGAAGGTATCATCTCTGTTCTCCCCACGCCTAAGGTTTACAATTCCATGGGGAAGTCACATCCACAAAGCTCAACAAGAAGAATGATCTCTATGGAGAAAAATGCGGCATCAGGATTGGAGAAAGACCAATTAACAACCTGTGATATGCAGATGACACAACCTTTCTTGCTGAAAGTGAAGAGGACTTGAAGCACTTACTGATGAAGATCAAAGACTACAGCCTTCAGTATGGATTACACCTCAACATAAAGAAAACAAAAATCCTCACAACTGGATCAATAAGCAACATTATGATAAATGGGGAAAATACTGAAGTTGTCAAGGATTTCATTTTACTTGGATCCACAATCAACGCATGGAAGCAGCAGTCAGGAAATTAAATGATGCATTGCATCGGGCAAATCTGCTGCAAAAGACCTCTTTAAAGTGTTGAAAAGAAAAGATGTTACTTTGAGGACTAAGGTGTGTGACCCAAGTCATGGTGTTTTCAGTCGCCTCATATGCATGTGAAAGCTGGACAATGAATAAGGAAGACCGAAGAAGAATTGATGCCTTTGATTTATGGTGTTGGCAAAGAATATTGAATATGGCATGGACTGCCAGCAGAATAAACAAATCTATCTTGGAAGAAGTACAGCCAGAATGCTCCTTAGAAGCGAGGACGGTGAGACTTCATCTTCTGTACCTTGGGCATGTTATCAGGAGGGACAAGTCCCAGGAGAAAGACATCATGCTTGGTAAAGCAGAGGGTCAGCAAAAAAGAGGAAGACCCTGAACAAGATGGATTGACGCAGTGGCTGCAACAATAGGCTCAAACACAGCAACAATTATGAGGATGGCACAGGACTGGGCAGTGTTTTGTTCTGTTGTACATAGGGTCGCTATGAGTTGGAACCTAACGATAACAACAACAGAACTCAAGACTGCTGTTGGCTAAGAAGTGGCCTGGGAGTAGGGTCAGAGCTGGGAGTGGCCCTGCTGGATGGTCAGGGGAGGAAAGCTGCCTGGGAGCAAGGATAAGAACTGACATAAAGGGGACCAACTACAGTTACAGCTGGCCCTGCATTTGAGCCAGATTGTTGAAAGCTGGGTTGTGGTACGTAGTCCTTGTTCTATGGCTCCATGAGGTGGTGGACATGGCAGGATGAAAGCACCATAAGAGGCCATTGCTATGGTTCAGGTGAGTAGGGATGAAACCTGGACCAAAGTTGTCCTTGGATGGGGTTGGAATGGAAGGGACAGGTGTGAGAGAGATCCAAAACAAAGAATGACCAGGACTTGGAGACTTAGATGTAATAGACACAGTAGTAAGGGAGACCAAGGGGTCTGAGACACTAGGAGAACAGGGGTATGCTTTACCAATATAGGACAGACAGAATCTGAGCCAAGCTTTTGTCTGAGGGTTCGAGGGCAGGGAGCGTTACAAGTTCTCTTTTAGACAATGCTGGGTTTATGGAGTGTTGGAAGGCTACCTGGTAGAAATGCAGGCAGGTGACTACAGATACAAGATGGGACTCTGCGGCAGGGGCGGGACTGGAAGTGAACTCCAATAAATAGGGAGCCACATGGCATGCTCAGACTGAGTGCTGGGAGGAGGGAGGAGATCCGTGGGATGTGGAGTCCTCGGGTTGTGCTTCCTGGGAAAGAAGAGAGTGGAGTGGGCACAGCTTAAGGCAGCTTTGGCTGAGAGGCGAGGTGACTTTCTGTTCAAGGGAAAGAACCAGGGCATGAGAGGACAGCTCAGTGGGAAGGCAGCCTCTTCTCACACAGCTGCAACTGCCACTGTGAGAGGGGATGCTGAGGGGTGCGGTGAGGTCCGGACCTCGTGAGTCTTCAGAGAGGGGATGACTGTGGGAGTGGGGCCTGCTGCCCCTGAGAAGAAGCTGCCCTCAGGGGCCCAAGTCCCCCAAGCCTCCCACCCCATGGCCCTGTGGAGGCTTCCTGAGCTTGGGTGCCCAGCACAGGAACAGGCTACAGGCGTCAGCTGGCTCACGCCCCAGGGCTGCCTCTCCCCTAGCCCCGCTCCTGGCAACACTGCTTCCCATAATTGCCGTCTAAAAATATCCTTTTCCCCACCCCCACCTCTTGATTTCAAAATATTTAGTTTTCAGGATATTTAAAATGAGAGCTGGCGGCTCTTCCAGGCCCAGATAACAAAGCTAAACATTTATGCTTCGACTGCATTTCTCTGAATTGGCCGAGATCTTGGGCTTGATATGGCAGCAGCAGGAGGCAGGGGAGTCCAGTGCAAGATGGATCATGTGCAGGCCTCCTGAGGCTGGGGGGCAACTGGCTTGCCCTGCCAAACGAACCCCTGTAGGACCCCTCCCTTCATTGGGGGACCACCTACCACTGTTGACGTGGAGCCGGCCCCGCACTGTGTCCTTGCCCAGGATGTTCTCGGCCTCGCAGACATACTCCCCAGCGTCCTCCACCTTCACCTTGTTGAACTGGAGTCGTGAGTTCTTTCTGGTTAAGGAGGGGATAAGAGGGGGAGAGCCGTGAGCCAGGGCCCAGGCCTGCTGTGGCTCCCCATTGGTCATTAGCGGGTCACCTGCCGGTCACCTCTCCCCCACAGAGCCACAATGGCCCCGCAGGGTGGGTGGGAAGTAGATACCCTCAGGTCAGCCATGTCTGAGGCCCAGGGGCAACCTCAAGTCCCCGGAGGGGAGTGAGATTTGGAACCTCAGGAGAACATAGGGCAGGGTGCATTGTTACATACATGTTCTAAGTCTGTGAATCCTCATACCTACTTTCCTGGAGCTAAGCCTTCTTTGTAACTCTTTTTCTGGGGGAGAAAATTCTAGCACCTCAGGAAGTTACATGGTCCCCACTCTTGCTCTTGTTCTTTCGGTGCCCCCCCATTCCCAGTGTCCCCACTCCTTCCCCTCCACAGGGTGACCACTGGCTCACCAGCTGCCCTAACCTTCCCTAGAAGGGGCAGTCTGTCACCCTAGATATGCGAGTGGCAGGTGAAGGTCCCAGGGGCTGTGAGGCCCAGGCAAAGCCTATTCCCAGGTACCTGGAGGAGTTGCTGGTCTGACATGTTCCCATGGCAACTGTGCACAGACTCCCAGCCCAAACCTGCAGGTCTCTCCTGCCTTCACATCAGCTTTGCCACTAAGGGGCACTCTGTGGCCTCTCTAAGGCCTTTTATTGCATTCATTCATTCAACAAATGTTTACTGAGTGTCTTCTGTATGCTGGGAGTTTGATACCTCAGGGAAAAAAAAGATCCTGGTCCTTGGGCCCCTACTTGATCCTTATGGCCAGTCTGGAGGTAGACAGGGTAGTACTTTGCTCCCTTTTTACAGGTAAGAAAACTGAGTCTTAGAGGAGCTTCCTGACTTGCCCAGGGGCACACAGCAAGGCAAAGGCACAGGTGGACCAGGAGCTGGAGTTGGTGAGGACATGGGACCCTCAGCAGCTCAGGGGCTCTCTCTCTGTTGGCTCCATGTCTCTCTGAAGTCCCCTGCCAACGCCCTCCTTCTGTTCTACAGAGTTTCCCTGCACCTGCCCCACAAGAACGAAGGCTCTGCAGGGTCTGTTCACAGCTCCCACCTCTCTCTGTCCCCATGATCTCCAGGGTGGCCTGGATAAAAGCCTGCGACCCCAACCTGGCTTCCAGTGAGAAACAAGATGTAGCATGAAAATGTCTTTATCTGATGTGACTTCCTCCTCTTTTTAGCCCTGAATTAAAAAATCAGATTCTCGTAATATATGGAGTAGGTTAGAGTGGTTGCAGAATATGAGGTAGGGTAGCAGAGCTGCCACTGCCCTAAACCTCAAGGATGTCAAACAGAGCTATGAAGCTGATGGGAGGGGTGATGTGAGCAGAGAGGCTGAGCCAGGGGTGGCGGAGATGGCAAATTGGCCCACCATCCCTCTCCTGGACTCTGCCTCTGGGAGTGTGTCTCTTCCCAGACCTCCTTATCCCAAGATCCCCCAAGCAAGGGTGCCACAAGGTTGTCTTGTCAATAGGCCCCACTGCTGTGGTGACATCCTTGTCGATGTTATGGTGACAGTTGCCCAACTACCCAATACCCTTCCTGGTTCAAGTCAATTTCTCCCCTTGGCCTGGTGCTTGCCCACAACCCTCTTCTGTCAATTAAAATTTGTTGCCTTCATTAACCAGAGCCCTGGAGGTCCCTCTGGCCAAGACAGTGTCTCGTCCCTGGCTCCAGCCTAATTAGATGCCACAAAGCCCAGTTTGCTGAGACAAAGCCCCTCTTGCTTCCTGGCCACCGGCTCTTCCCTGCACACTCGATGTGCAGGGCAGGGGACCACCTGAGGGTCACAGGTCAGTGCACAGGGGACACACACTCATAGCCTCCTTGTTGCTCACATCTGAATTCAAAGGAGCTTCCCTTACATGCCATGCTATGTAGCAGGGCAAAGAGGAGCGAGGCTCACAGGCTATCTGGAGGGATAAAAGCTGGAACTTTAAGGAAGGGCTTCCTGACATGAAGATGTGAGACCTGTAGAAAGGAGGCCCAAAGCTCAGGGACAGCCTTGTCCCTTTGAAGAACAAGAAGGAAGCAGGGGACAGAAAAAATGGCGCCTGGTTTGCTGGCTGCCGATATCTTGGTTTACCAGCTGTTTGGTGAACCCATCTCGGCAGTTCTAGGAGGTGGGCCCCAGAGAGGCATAAGGGGCTCGATGTCAGAGCTGGAAGGTGGGGGGGTCTATAGATCTACATTTTCTTCTCCTTACTCCTAGCTCCAGTCAGGAGCCCCAGGGAGCCAAGACTCCGTCCGGCCTTCCTGGCAGGCCCCAAACACACTGACTCAGGCTTGCCCCCTGCGGTGGATGCCCTACCCGTCCCTCCCCAGCCAGTTCCCTGCTGACAGGGATGGAATTTGAGCAGCCACATCCTCCACCCGTCCCCACATTTTCCTCAGCACCTACCTCCCACTGCCTGCTGGAGGGGCCTGTCCCAGCCTGCTTCTCATAAATAAGGGAACATGTGGTTCTGCAGGGGAGGGCCCCGTGCCCAAGGCTGGGGGGCAGTTTTCTCCTGGCACAGCAGGGCTTGGGTGAGATGCCTCAGTTCCGTGACACAGAGACAGAGAGCAACCCGGCGGGGAGGGGTCTCTGCAGGCCAGTAGAGACGTCCAGACACAGTGTGGCCTGTGCAGGCAGTGTGCCGGGAGGGTGGGAGAGCAAGCTGTGGTGAGGAAGGAGAAGATTTTGCCAAAAAAGGAGACTCCAGCCTCTGGGCCCATGCCAGATGAGGTGTGTGTGAGTGTGAGGGTGGGTAGGTGTGGAGGTGGCAGCTCTCTTCAAGTCACTCTGAGGGGACTTTTGTCACAGGGAATCAGAAGGTCCCTATCACGGCCCACTCCTCCACCGTTAACAACTCACTGCTGGGAGCCCAGGGGCAGAATAGATGGCACAAGGAAGTTTCAGAGATGCAGCAAATTGGACAGGGCCTTGACAGACAGGGGGCAGGGTAGATGGCAGGCGGTACACTTCAGACTTTAAGGGTCCCTAATACCCAGGAGGAGAAGATCTGACCAGGCTTTGTTTCTGGACTGGGTAACCCATTTGTCAGATGAAACAGAGGATTGACCAGGGTAGTAACTTGTTCAAAGTCTAGGACAACACAAAGGGTCTTCTGTCTAGTCCCAGTGGGGTCCTGCACAGGAGATTCCTGCAGGATTCTCATCAATTCAACATTTAATTTAGATCCCCTCTGTGCCCGGCCCTACAGGGGACAATGGTGTGTATGGGAGTGGGGGACCCAGCCTTTGAGGCTCTTTCATGCTAACAGGAGAGATAGACCCAACCAGCCTCCCCCCTACCCCCCATGCCCCAACAACACAATGAAGCCATGTCTAAGGCACCATGGGAGGAGACAATAAGAACTGCCTGGAGGGCTCAGGAAATTGTCCCAGAGGATGTGACATTTAAGCTGGGCCTTGGAGAACTCTGTCAGGGACAAGAAGGGGATGGGAGCTGTAAGTGTAGGGAACAGCTTGGACCCAAAGCAAGGGAATGAAAGGAAATGACATATTTGACCAGGGGTCTGGAGCAGAGAGGTGTTGGGAGACAGCAGGGCAATGACTCAAAGGCCAGGAAGAAGAGAGGTGGAAGCTGGGACTAGGCCCCTCTGGGGAGGTGTTTGCACCCAATCCCTGCATGCTGAGAATTGTGGGATGAGGCCTGTGCTGTGCCTGGCATGCAGGAGGCTCTCAATAGCTGTCAAGTCAATGAATGAATGACTGGGTATGTGTCCATGTTAGAAAGATCATTCTATGTCAGGCATTCACTGAGTCAGTGGCTCTGTGGACCTCCTGCTGGCATGAAGAGCTGCAAAGGCTGGGTATATGAGGCACAGTTTTCCAGTGAAAGGGTCTAAACTTTTACCAGATTCTATACTAGAAGCCAGACTAGAAACTCCGTGAAGGAAAGGACCATGTCTGTTGTGTTCACTGGTGTATCCCCAGCCTCCAGCACAGTACCTGACACACAGTAGGTGCTCAGTGCATTTATGTTGAATATAGAAATAGACTCACAAAGTGGCCTGTGGTCCAGAAAAGGTGGAGAGTGGCCAAGAGTGAGACCAAGGGAGGAAAAGAGGCAGGGATATCAGATAAGAAATGTGCAGAGCAGGGAGATGAACCCCTCCTTCCAGAGATGTGGTACCCAACTGGAGTGGATGGTAAGGGGACAGGGACTGAGCAGCAGGGAGTCTGGTTCCGTAACCGCTGACAGAGGAACATGGGAGGGAGAGGCAGGGCTCAAGGAGGAAAGGGAAGGGAGAGGCTAGACTGGGGCATTCTGAATTAGAAATGTCTGTTGGATATCTCAGGGTAGTATCTAGTGGTTAGCTGGCAGTATGGGTCTGGAACTCAGGTTAAAAAGTCATCAAGACTAGAGATGGAAACTTGGGGTCATCAGATATTTAAAGCAAGGGGAAAGTGTGAAATCACCCACAGGTAGAAAGGGATCGAGGAGAGAGGTGAAGGCTACAACTACAGGAAAGCTCCAATATTGGTGGAGGATGAGAGAGAGTGGTTATAGGTGCAGGAGAAGCAGGAGAAGCACCAGAGGGGCTCAGGGAGCAGGTGGTACCACTGCTGATGGCCGCTGAAGAGGCCTGGAGAAATGGGGCCAGGAAACTCAGAGGTTGCTGGGGTCTCTCAAGAGCCACATCCACAGAGAGTATTGGAGGTGTAATTTAAAAGCAGATTCCAGCAGGGCAAAGAGAGAGCAGAAGATGAGAGAGTGTGGAGTCAGTGGGCATACAACTACCCCCTGAGCTGACTCCATATGCAGTGGACAGGAGCAGGGAGAGGGGGCAACATCTAGCAGAGAAACAGCAAACAGCAAGGTGGAGGGAAGTCATTGTATAAGAGAAGCAATATGTGTGGGTATGTAGGTAGAAAGAGAAAGTCTGAAGTTACCAGAGAAATAAGTTTGTTGATGGTACTGTGGCTCTGAGGGTGGGTGTGTATTTATGTGTTCAAGGAAGCTGTGGGGATATGTGACAGTGGGATAGGAATGAGGGGATGATGGACGAAGTTATGGACGTGTTTGGAAGTAAGGAAGTCACTCTCTCCTGACTTCTTTTGTCTCAGTGAAGTAGGGAGAGAGGTCATCTTCTAGAAAGACAGGACAGGAGAGGGAGGGGTTCCAACAGCTCCTGGAAGGCAGTTCGTTCTTCTCTCCAGCTTGGAGCCAGTCTTGGCAGGGCAGTGAGAAGGGACGGGTGGCCCCAGAAGGTGAGCTGGAGGAGCAGCGTGAATTCTTGCCAACTGGAGACACACTGGACACGCCCCCCGCCTCACCAATATCCTTAGGAAGCGGCACTCTTTCAGTCATAAAATTTTTATCTAAACCAAACTCTTCTTAAATTACTTTCTGTTTTCTGCGTGGACCACTTTCTGGGGTGAGCAATTCTCTCTTCCCTAACTGGGAGGGTGTTACAGACCATTTGCTCCCGCTCCCTCTTTCCACAGCTTCCAGAGACTAAGGTCGATTCAGGGTATTTACATCCAGGACCACAGAGCCACCTAGGAGCAGCTTGGACCCATGCCTTCTTTCCATCACTTTCTGTTGTGGGGCATGCTGGGGGCGGTTCTCAAAAATCATCTTCGTTTGCATTTTGTGAGGAGTAAGGAAGAAAATGACAGCCAAAAGAAGAGTGGTTGTATAAGCTACTCTAGAGGGGGCAGAAAAGACGGGGTGCTCCTCAGCTACCCAGGGGAGTCCACTTGGTCCCCAGGGTCAACAGAGCAGAGGTCAGGTAGAACTTGTGTTTAGCATCCTTGTTTGTCCTGCCTTCTGATAGCTCCTCAGGGGCTCAGGGCGGGGGCAAGAGAGAGGTGGGGAGGCTGCTCTTGGTATTCTGATTTCTCTGGTGCCTGAAGCTCCCCTGCCCTACCAACCCAAGCAGGAAGATAGGTCATCTTCTGCAACCTGGAGATTCAGAGAGCTTCTGATTCACTTCCCTGGAGCATTGAGTCAAAGATTAGACAATTTCCATTTCATAAGGGGATACCATCTGAGATATAGTGCCTTTTACCCTTGCCTAGCTCTCTGCTAAGTGACAGCTTGCTCAGCTAAGGAATCAGTTCATCATCATGTGTGACCTTTCAGAGGCATTCTAGAGTCAGGATCTTTCCTCAAAGATTACCAAATGGTGGGGCTTTCAGACACCCCACCAATTTCCTTAGGAAGCAGCATTCTTTCGGTAGAAGTTTTAGGGATGGGAGTGGGCTTCCAGATCCTTAATCCACAGGTAAAGCTGATCTTGACAGTTAAATTGCCTTCAACCATCCAGAGACATTACTTGAGCATCAACAGTCTCCAAGACCCTGGGCCACCATAACTAGAGGGATCCAGAGCTGCAGGAAGAAGGTTGGGCTTGGCAAGGAAGTGGGGTAGAGAGGGGCTGGGATTGTTTCCATGGGTAGGTCTGGGGGCACAGCCCCAGGCTCTGCCTAGCTCAGGCCCCTCCTTCTCAGGGAGAAGGGAGGGCAGCTCACCGGTTGGAGGGAGGGTTGGATGGTGCTCACCTGCCATTTCCATACTTGATGCGAATGTCACGGCTGCGGTTGAGCTCCCTGCCATCCTTGAACCAGCGGTAGGAGGGCTGGGGGTTACCAGCTGCTGCCTCACACTTTAGCGATTGCTTCTCACCCACCTGTCCCGTCTGGCTCTTCATCTTCTTCAGCTTGGGCCGGGTGGCTGTGGAGGCACAAGGCAGGACAGTGAGCATGGTGGTGGTGAGGGCAGCTCCAGGCATGAGCAGTAGTGGGTAAGGGTCACTGTCTTTGGGCTGGGCCTGGGGGAGTGAAGGGGTGAATCTGGGGAACCATTCCTCCTAGTGCCGTTTCCTAGTTCAATCCAGCCAGCATCGACAGAATCTGCAATGATACTATGTATTTATTTATTACACTATTTATAGAGTTTCCTTTGTGCCTAGAATGGTACTAGTAGCTTTACATATATTAGCTTATGAAATCTTCACAATAACCTCGTGAGTTCATGACAATGATTAACCCCATTTATAGATGGGGAAACTGAGGCTCAGAGTAATGAAATCACTTCCCCAAGATGGTAGAATTGGGAATCAAACCCAGGTGTCCTTGACTTCAGTGTTCATGATCTAACTCCCGTCCCCAGCCCCCAGGACTGAGCAGGGCCCAGAGGACACAGGGCGACCAAGATGGCAGACACAGGTCTTCCCCTCAGGAAGTTCAGTCTAGCAGGGGAACCGTAACTTGGCACTGACATCAAAGCATGGTCATAGAGGGTGGGGGGTGGTGTAGCCCAGAAGAGTGACCCCAACCCAGGCTGGGGAGGGGCTAGCTTAGCTAAGAGTTCAAGGATGAGAAGGGAAGTGGGCCAGTAAGAGGCAGCACGTGGGCTGAGTTGAGTGGGTAAAGTGGAGGGGCCATATGCAGGACAAGGCCTGGGACTACACCATGGACAGATAGGGTACAAAAGCCAAGCTGAGGGGCTCTCCCTGTATTTCTTAAACGCCACCCTCTTTCTCATGCTTTACCCTTTTGCTCCCCTCTCCCACCTTAAAAAAAAAAAAAAAAAAAAAAGGAAAAAGTCCTCTGTTCTCAGTAAGGTGTGGGCCAGCAATGCTCCCTGCTGGGGTATGCAACACTTTTCATTGCAACAGCCCTTTACAGGATACAAGATGCTTTCCTGCACGCTCTCATGTGAGCTCCGTGAGACGAGTGTCACTACAGATGTAGAAGGTGAAGCCAAGCTCAGAGAGGTTAAGACACTTCACTGAGGTCACATAGCCAGGCAGCCACAGAGCAGGGACCAAAGCCCAGGTGTCTGGATTTGTAATGAGCCAGGCTGGTACCAGGCTGCGGACTGCTTTTGCAGCCTCATTTCTATTTGAGGAGTGGAGACACAGATTAAAGTCCTTCCAATAGTAGAAGGGAGGGTCTTCTGGGGCCAGGGAGTTGCCTGGGGACTGAGCAGCCATCGGCCACTGGTCCTTTCCTCAGGGCCTAGAGTTCTGGCAATGGGCTTAGCTGGCTTTGGAGAAAGGCTGGCAAGGGGGCCTGGCTATAGAGGTCCCCTCATTGAACCTAACCCTGAGCTGCTGCTTATAAGTAGGGACAAGACCCAAGTACGGATGCAGGGGGCAGAGGAAGCCAAAAAACAAAGGGCTCCCAAAGCCTAAAAAAGCTGCATTACATAGACTTAAAAAATGATTCTTGTTGTGAAATAATTGTGTTCATTGTAGAAAATTAAAAACTACAGACAGGTTAAAAAAAGAAAACAAAATCACCCATTATTCTCTCTCTCTCTCAAAATACACACACACGCATACTTTCAAACAAAATGAAATCACTGCCAGTAACAGGTTTGTTTCATTTAATGAAATGATGCAACTCTTCCCCCTTGGCATTAAATATTAATCTCTAATAGCATTTCCCAAACTAAATTCTATAGGACATGAGTTGATAATGGATATTACTTGAGAAAAGGGTTCCATGAGCAAATTAGTTTTGGGAAAATGGGGGTAAACAGTTAAACTTTATCAACTTAAGTACGATTCTATAAGGTAGGGCCTTGGATTTTTTTTCTTGGAACCCTTAGTCGCATTTCAAGAAAATAAAGTTATGTGGAACAAATTCTATAACATCTCTTATATATGCATATATGTGTGTGGAGTGTCTGGGTGGTGCAAATGGTTAATGTGTTCGGCTGCTGACCTGAAAGGTTGGATGTTTGAGAGCAACCAGAGGTGCCTCAGAAGAAAGGCCTAGTGATCTACTTACAAAAAATCAGCCACTGAAAACTATGGAGTACAGTTCTACTCTAACACATACGGGGTCACCATGAGTTGGAATCGACCCGATGGCAACTGGTTTATATATATGTATGTGTGTATGTATATATACATATAAATATATATATATTTTTTCACATGATTCAGAATTCAAGAAGTGCAAAGAGACATATGGCTAAAACAAACAAACAAACCAAAATCCTCTTTTACTTCTGACAGTAGCCACAGAGTTGCCTTTTCAGGAGGCAACCAATTTGAATCAGTTCCTTGTATACATTTTCAGAGATTTTTAAAATGTATATATAAACCAATACCAGTATTCACACACATTTTTTTTCTATAGCACCATTTTTCATGCTTGTATAATATTTCACGGTATGGTTGTATCAAAATTTATGTAACTAATTCCCATCACTGGGCATTTAGCGTGTTTCCCACCTGCCATTTGCAGACAACTCTGGAGGAACATCCTTGCAGCTTCACTTCGCACACATCCAGTGCATACTGCTGAAAGGGCAATATGACTCTAGACCTGGACTGCCTGGGCTTAAATCCTGGCTTTGCTACTCGTCAGCTGTGTGTCCTAAGGTCATTTACTTAATTCTTTGGCACCTCAGTTTCTTTCGTCTTTCTAAAATCCAAGTGATAATAATAGCTCCGATCTCGTGGGATGATGGCCATGAAGATTATATGAGATAATGCGTGTAGAGCCTGGTACATAGAGAGCATTTAATAAAGGTTAGCTACTATTGTTATTTTTATCCACCATTGTTTCCTAAGGCGATCTCCTAAAAGTGGAATTGCTGCGTCAAAGGGTATGTAATCTTCCTTGGCTTTGCATGTTGCCAAATTGCCCTCTGGAAAGGTTGAGCCAATTTGCACTCCCACTAGTGAATGACAGTGCCTGTTCTTTCCACACCCTCACCAACACAAGTCATTATCGTGTATTTCATCTTTGCCAATTAACTAGGCAAAGATAACGTCTCTTTGTTGTTTTCATTTGCATTTATTTGATTACTGGTGAGGCTGAACATTTTTCATAAGTGGACTGGCCCATTGTATTTCTTCTTTTTGAATTGCCCATTCATGTCCGCAGTCCGTTTTTCTATTGGGTGCTCATCTACCTGTTGATTTGTAAGGGCGCTTTATAAATATTAAGGCTATTAACCTTTGACTACAATGATTTTTCCCAATTACCTGCTTCTCAATTTTTTAAATGCTTCTTCTTCTTCTTTTTTTTTTTGACACCCAGAAGTTTTATGTACACCAACCTATCAATCAATCTGATGGACTTTCCTAGAGTTTCATTATTTTAAGTGTGGTAGAAGTCCTGTTCAGCATCCCTCCCCCTTACCTCAGCTCCCTACCCTCTACTCTGTGTCTGTTTTGGGGTCCCCGGTCATTCCTTATCAATAGCTCTTAACCCTGGCTGTAAATGAGAATCCTACGAGAAGCTTTAAAAATTACAGTGGTGCCTGGGACATCTTCCAGACATTCTGAAGCAGAACCTGTGCGAGTGGGTCTGGGCATGTGGGTTTTAAAGGGCTCCTCAGGTGTCTTTGTAACTTAAAAAAAAATATAGACCACATACATACAGAAAAGTGCACATATTGTAAATGTAGAGCTCAATGACTGTTTACAAACTGAGCACATCTGCACAGGTGCTTTTGCTCTGAAGTTGGGTTAGCACCCAATGCCCTAACCTTGTGGTCAACTGGTGACCTTCAGAGAGTCCCTCCCCTTTCTGGGTGAACTGGGGATACAGAAGGATCTTCTTAGGCCCAGCAGTACACCCTTCCCTGCTTGGAGAGTGTTGGCCTTTCTTGCAGTTCGGAGATAAGGGAGCCCCCTGCTCCCCACCACCATGGGCCACCTCCCTCCCAACAAGCCAGGGTGGGATGGTGGTGACACCCGGTGGGAGGAAGCAGTGGTTAATTTATAATCTTGTTTCCTGATGTGGGTCCTGGCACAATACTATGCACTGAGCCTGTCGCCACTGCTTAACGGTGGTGATGGGAGGGGGATACATAGAAACTGACCCCAGAAACAGTAGGTATGACCCCAATTCGGACAGCCCAAAGAACTAGGGGTTCATAGTCATTTCCTGCCACTGATGAAAAACACAGGATCATATTTCATCTAGTAAGAATCCTGTATGACTCGATAGCCACTTCTTGAGACAGCCCACTCAGTTCACATCAACCCCATTTAGTTCACTTGTTCTCCATTCATTCCTTCATTCAGTATACAAATTGAGCACTTACTGCATGCTGGGCACTGTTATGAGCCCTGGGTATTTAAGAGTGAACAAGACAGATAAACTTCTTGTCTTAGGGGAGCCTGAATTTTAGTGAGGGAGGTAGACAATGAGTAAATATCAACAGGAAATATGAGACAGACATAAGCAGCTAGAGAATGGCCCTAAGATTAGGAATGAGCTTGGTGAGTTCAAGGAACTAAAAGAGGCTCATCTAGCTGGAACATAGTGGATGACAGGGGTGGTATGAGGGGAGCTTGGAGAGGTAGGCAGGGCCCAAGTGACATTGGGCTGTGTAAGCCAGAGAAGTCTGGATTTGTTATTTAAGTGAGATGGGAAGGCATTAAAGGCTTACAAGTTGACCTAATCTTACTTTTTGCATGTTAAACTCATTCTTAACTTGAGCCACCATCACGTCCCCCCTGTGACTTCCAGCCATGGGATCCAGTTCCAACCCCTGGGGCCCCCTGAGACAAGACTGAGATGTTGTTCACACGACAGATCTTTGCGCACCCAGAGACAGTTCTCATGGGGCCTCAAACATGACTGGCAGCTACAGCTCCTTCTCTGGCACCCTCTCTGAGAAGGGTCCAGTGTCTTCTACGTTCCCAGAGTGCAATGCTAGTGTGCAGGTATGGAGATCATGTCCTGAGAGGGTCTTGGGCC